AGTTTTAGTAAAAATAAATTTGAAGATGTCCCAAAAAAATAAGAGAGACACCAACAGAGTTGTAATCATTATAAGCTTTCTGACATCTGATAAAAAGATATAAGAATAATTTACTACCTAGAAGATCTGCACCTTTAATGCATGTGATGGGCAGATGGAAATTAGGGCGAGGGAAGGGAAACATAGGAGTACGATTGACTGATGAAGGGAAAAGGAGAGAGAGCGAGCACATGGGAGCTAACTGCTTATAACACTTTTACATGAAGTAACAATTTTATTTGTTGACTACCCTCCCCTCCTTTACAACAATGAATTTTAACGAGTAAGGAAATTTAGCCACTATAGAGTCAGGGACGAACTAATCACATACCTGCTGATAATTTTCATGCTCGGATATTGTTTTCCGTCCACTCAATAGCAACTCAATCTGATTCATCCGTGGGGTTAACAAAGGTGATCGTGGTGTCATGCTTCCTGCTGATGAGCCTTTCTTACCTAGATCTGGTGTAAAAAGGCCACGTGTTTCACATGACATATCAGGCAAATTGTCCAGATCATCCACGAGAAATGCTGTATCAGCCTCATGAACACAATCTAGCATGTCAATGGAGCATCCATGAGACAAGCTGTTTTGCCTAGGTGACAACTCATCCAACTCTTCAGGTAACGCTTTTGCACTGTCAGGACTTCCCACTGCAGTATCTGTGCCTTTTGGTGTCCAAGATTCAAGTATCGTTTCAAGGGCTTCTGCAACTCTATCAAGTCGTTCATTCACAGTTAGGCCTTTTAAATCACATCTATCAGCAATTGTACAAATTTTGGAGTGCTCTTCTACATAGACAGTGGGAATTTCAACCTCACATATACGGCAGATAAATGAATTTTCATATGTTACATTCTGTTGATCCCCAAAAACTCCCCAAGTGACTTTTCGTACTTTCAAGTTTGTTTCTGCATGTTCAGGGTGGCATACTGGTGTATCAAGAGTCTCAACATTAACTTCAATCCCAGTGTTTTCATCTTTGTGTTGCAGGCTGTTAGATTTATCCTTATATGTAGAGTCAACAGAATCAGGACCTTTTCGGTTTTTTTCAGCTGCGGATGGAAGTTTCTTCCAAGATGACATCCTATAGCTGCCAGTTGATGAAGTGACACTTTTTGCAGTGCTAACCTCCACGCCGTCAACCACACCACCCAAGTTTTGTTTTACTTGATCTTGTTTAAAGCCAAGATTGCTTTGGTCCCATCCATGAGGCTTCTGGTTTTGTCCCTCACTCATTTCCTTTCCACCCAGTGAGCTATTGAAGTCCTGATTTGCAACCCCAAGAATTCGTTCTGGATAGACTCCAAGATCACTAAGTTGGTGAGAAGCCAGAATGTGATCTTCTTCATAACCATTCTCCTTCTGAAATTGCAAGAGCCGAGTGCATCGAGTGAGTATGAATAAAAGGCGGGTGTGGGCTTGCTTGAGGGTACCCATTGGTAGCTCTTGACGGCGGTCATCTAGAGTCTGAACAATGCCTTCACACTTTAACCAAAATTCGTTAGGTGACATTTTTGCACACTGCCTGGCTATAACCAACAAATCCTCCAAACTCTCTTTCCATTCAAGGCAAAGCTCTGAATTATTTTCGAGTATACTCACCAAATCTCCTGCATATATACCTAAATCAGAGTTAACCTCATCTTTTAACTTGTCAAATTTTGCCCTGACCATTACCATAATCTCCTGGAAAAAATTACATGGTGGAAATGAATAAATCTGTTGAAATAGCTAGGGCGAAATAATCAATCAGCCCAAGGAAAGAAGTACTGAAAGGAAAGGAGGAAGAGATTGGATTTGACAAGAACAAAAAGGAACTGTGGAAGAGTGAATACCTCCATCTGCCCAAATGCACGAGACTTCCAGAATGGAAGAGCGCGCACTCCCTTGGAGTTGAGCTCATGAGAGAAGCTCTTGATTTCTGGGGCTCTCTTTTTGCGTCCGCTTGTGACGCGCAGTATAGCCTGGACCCGTGGTGATTGAATTTCCTTTGCAAAAGCTGCATGATTACCCTACAGCAAGCCAATGATATGAAGCTGAGCTATCTAACTCCTCCAACAAACTTCCACAAGGAAATTATATAAGGAAAAGGAAAATAGGAAAGAAAAAACTAGTCAGACGAAAAACAAACAACCCATTTAGGTAACAAGTGACTTACCTCCAACCCTGGATTGAGTGGTGATGGCAGTCCTCTCAATGATTTAGATTGACTCCATTGAACCTTTTTACCTACAGATAGTTATGGAAAAAACTCAGAATGGTAATAGTCTTACCGAGAAAGTGAAGTATACTTAAATATGTGTCATCCTCATCCATAATCAAATGTTATTTCATCAACACACAATAAACAAAATATGACTTGCAGAACTTCCAGAGAAGACTGAAAATTAAATTATATAAGTGTGTCGTTTCTAAACAATATTGAAAGATACAGCAAGATTTGAAAACTGGTGCCAACACCCCTAACCTTTTAACCAAAAAAAAATCCAACAAGTTTGTATACGTTGTCACCTACAGAGTTAAAATGGGGCATTTGGGTCAAAATGTCAATTTCTTCCTAGCTTACCCTACCTTCTTTTCGCAGCAATATGATTCTAAATTTCACATTCTGAACCTAAATAGCATCATTTCTTGTGTGGAAAGAATTCCATGCACGAGTGCATGGATTCATGCAGATTACCTAGTTCGCTGGATGTTGTGGTCTGATGAGAAGCGTCTGATTTGGGGTGAGACTCGACTTTGTCTTTCTTAAGTTTGGAAGGCGCGCCAGATGAAGATGAGAATCGAAGAGGCGATGGAAGCGACCGGGTTCGAATGGGATTAAGACCAAGAGTCGAAGCCCGAATTATAGAATCTTCATCCTCCTCCTCCTCTTCCACACCCTCCTCATGGTGACATTCAGCATCAGAACCTTCATCTTCATCGCCATCTTCTGAAGTTTCAGCTCTATGTCGAAACGGAATGGGAGGGATCTTCCTCAGCTTCACAATTGACGGTGTCCGCGGTGAATCAGAGATCGGAATTTGTGCATTTTTGTGGTTTGGGTTTGAATTTCTGTCTTGAGGTTCGGAATTTTTTAAAGAACTTGGTAGACTCGACATTGGCAGTGGAAGAAGGTAAAGAAATCATGATCGCATTGCGGTTGAACCAATCATCGATATAGTTGGGAGCGCAATTACACACACACAGAGAGAGAGAGAGAGATGAAACTTCAGGAATTCAAAGTTTGATCAGAGAAAGTCCAGATTTCGGATATGTGTGTACATGGATAGAGATAATTGGAAGTTATAATACTGTAAGATAGTTTTTTGGGGAGAGAGAGAGAGAGAGAGAGAGAGAGAGAGAGAGAGCTGAGAGACAGAGGTTTTCGCGGGAAATAGAGCGTTACAGGAAGACACGCAAGCGGTCTTTAAAAGTTGAGAGATTCGATTCAGTTAATTAGAACGTGCTTCCCTCCCCGCAGTGCAGCACCGCGTGCGATTTCGATAAAATATTCATTCCATCACTAATACCACGAAATCCCGGAGCGTACGTTATGATTAAATTAGAAATCGATTTATGAATATAGGATTTGTCCTCAATTTTATGTGAATTCATTAAGACTAATCAATATAAGTATGCCTTTATTCACACAGAGACAAATTTAAAAAAAAATCAATTACAAAATAAAAAACACGTTTTTTTAATAATTGACAAGTCACGAACCAATTAATCTTTAAAAATTGATGAAATATATCTATATAATAAGGGACAATGTTTTTTGAACCCCTTAAAAACACAAACTTATGATAAACTTTTGGTCGGTCCAAGTTCAAACATGAATTGAGGGCGAATCAAGAGTCTATCTATTGGTGTCCATGTGTTGAGTTCAAATTTGATTTCACATTACGGTCTAATACTTGGGGTCTAGGTCGAGGTTTAAGTCTTGGTTCAAGTTCAGGNGTCTAATACTTGGGGTCTAGGTCGAGGTTTAAGTCTTGGTTCAAGTTCAGGTTCAGAATCAAAGGTTGGAGTCATGGTCTAAGTCGAGTTTGATTTTGGGGTTTGGATCGAATATTGGGTTCGGATTCAAGATTGAAGATTGACGATTTTAATTTATTTTTTTCCTTGTGAAAAAACTAAAGTACATAGATATATGTAGAACAAAACTTGCATGATAGGCTAATAATCCTTACCCAATGCCATGAGTGTATTGTTGCCAATTTTCTTACGATCATATTGTTGCTCTAAATTCTTTTATTATTGATAGAGGAAATTTAATCAACAGTCAGTTTTTTAGGTAATTACTAGTGATGTATTCAATTGTCTTGTTTCATAATTTCTTTAGATAAAAATTTGAGCAATAAACACACAAAATCATGAATTAATATGAGAAAATCCCTTTATAGTCCAATCAAAGGGTTTTCAGTTACAAAATATTTAATTAACAGGCTTGATTAGCACTAACTATTTTCTAAAAATTAACCTAACACTACTCCTAAAAATGTTTAGATCGTAGGTTTTGTGGGAGTTTGAATATATCCTTCAATTTTCTCCTTTTTTTGTTTTTTATAACCATTATCCTCCGTAGTTTCACTAGCCAAGTCATTATGACTGCACAACTCCCAAGAGAATCCGAAAGGTCAACATGACATTGAGAGTTTTGATATCATTCAAAGCTTGTGTAGTTTAGTTGTCAATGTTAATCTGACTTTGAATGAACTGATGGAAGACATCCTCAAGATTTCATTTATGTGGAGTCTGGTAAGGAGGCCAATTATTCCTCTTCTTTCAAAAATGGCTAATCACTTTCTGCCTAACCAAAGAGAAGCTTACAAAGAAAGACACTAGTTTTTCCTAGGTTCTCTCTAGGGTTCTTCTGAGTTTCTATCTCAGTTTCTGCTCTATCGATCTGGGTCTCTGACCTCGTGTTCTTGGTTGTGCTATAATCATATCATCATGGTGGGCCCTTTGTTCATGGTGGGTTAGGGCTTTTGAAGTTTCCATTGGGCTGATGAATATCACATGGTCTGATTTGTTAGTTTCGGATTGCATTTTTTTGAGATGTTAGTTTGTTATGATTTGGCCTCTTGAGTAAGTGTATTCTGGAGATTCTCAGTATTTAATGTTTCCCTTTTTCATTTTGTTTCCTCATTCACGAGTACCTCGGTCTCTGTCTCCTCTCATTCCCTTTCTTTTCGCGTATCTCAAGTTTTGAACATTCCCACTTTGATTGTCGCTTCTTTATTTTCGTTCTGGTGATCATTTCTATTTCCCATTTATCTTGTTGTAATTTTCTCCATCTCCATGTCGATTGATACAGAGGCGACCTCCCTTGACCATGGCCACCCTCATATATCTCTCTCGTCTTACCCAGCTAGCTCCAAGGATGTTCAACAAGTATGTATGGTGGGAAATTTTTTTTCAGATGTTGCTCTCAACAAGCAAGGTGTCTCTAGTGTCCTACAAGCCTCGTGGAAAACAATAAAAGGTTTTTCTATAACCTTTTGGGAAAAGAATACATTCATGTTCATGTTCAAGGATGAGGAGGATAGGGATAAAATATTTGAGGAAGGTCCCTGGTTGGTTATGGGAGCATTGATAATGTTGAAGAAATGTGTCCCACAATGTTCACTGAGTGATTATGATTTCTATAAAATTGATTTTTGGATTCAGATTTGGGATTTGCCTCCTAATATGATGACAAGAAGTAATGCTTGGAAAATAAGCAAGATCATTGGGGAGCCCACACAAGTGGAAGAGGCAGGGGTGAACTTATGCTTAATAGGAACTTTTTGAGAGTTAAGTGTGAAATTGATCTCAATGAACCTCTGAAGAAGGGTTTTTTTCTTGCCCGTGATAAGAAGGATGATTTGTGGATACGCTTTAAATACGAACGTTTATCTGAGTTCTGTTATGTTTGTGGGAGAATTGGTCATACCCAGACTCAGTNGTGAAATTGATCTCAATGAACCTCTGAAGAAGGGTTTTTTTCTTGCCCGTGATAAGCAGGATGATTTGTGGATACGCTTTAAATACGAACGTTTATCTGAGTTCTGTTATGTTTGTGGGAGAATTGGTCATACCTAGACTCAATGCAGCAGGAGAAGAAAGGGCAATCAAGGTGAATTTGGTCTTGAGTTGCGAGCACAAACTTCTCAGAATGCTGGTTTTTATAGAGAAAATTGGTCCAAAATTGCACAAAATGAAACGAAAAAATAGAGGTGGAAAGCTCACAAAAAAGGTCACCGGAGATGATGAAGGGATACCAAAGCGTGAGGAAACTCTGTCTGCAAGGTGGTTGAGTGACAGGGACAAAGTGAAAGAGTACACTCCTGTAGGGAGGCAAAGTAAGGCTCATGCAGTAGAGTTGGTAAAAGGAGATAAAGAGATGTCACATGGGATAGCTAAGCTCCTCCTGCCACAAGAAGACTTCTATCCTCTGAATCATGAGTGTTGTAATAACCCATCTGAGGTGGGAAATTTGGATCTGATGATCCACAAAGATTTAGGGCCTAATCCAAACGAGAATGTGGAAGCTTGCCAAAGCCCAAAGATTATGGGGCTAAATAATAATTCCATTGTTTTTGGGAAGCAATCAAATGGAAAAGGCTTATGGTCTAATTGTTACTATGTAATAGAACCATTGGAGAGCCCTAAGGCTTTTGAAGGTCCAGAATTAAATATAGCCCTAACCATTGGGGCTGCAGGTATGTGGACTCAATTACTTCGATTGGGGCGCTGATGTTGTTATAGCTGAGGAAAAGGTACAGAAAAAATTCCAATCCTTAGCAATAAAAAGAAAGGCACAACCGGAGGTGGTGATTAGTGGTGCTTTTGGCCCCAGTAAGAAGCAGAAAGGTGGGGAGGTTCTTACATTGGAGCAGAGAATTCAGGCTGCGTTCCAGAATTCGGAGGAGTCCTTCTCAGTGCAATCTCTGACAACTAGAAGACATACAAAGCGGTCAGGTAAGGCAAATTGGTGCCCTAGGGGAGGTAGAGGGGGAAGAAACAGAAAATTGACTCATTCAAAACCCTTTGTAGCCTCTTTATCTGAGTATGACGTCCAAGTGCCAGAAGCGTATCAGGAGGAGCAAGGTGAGAATAATCTAAATTTTTGTTTTGCCCAGTGGACTTCTTTAGTTCCAAGTATTCCCTCTGAGAATGGTAGAAATGATATGGATCCGAAAAGGACAGTGGTGGCTAGCCTTCAACAGCCACAGCCTCCGTATTAATTCTCTCATGGAACTATCAGGGAATGGAACGACCCCGGACAGTTCGTAATTTGAGAGGGTTAATTAATACCCATCGTTCGACAATAGTCTTCCTCATGGAGACTAAGAATGGATCTCAGAAATTGGAAAGGTTGCGGCGGAGTCTGAACTTCCCTAATGGTGATTATGTTGAACCAAGGGGAACTGTTGGTGGTTTGGCTTTATGGTGGAAGGATGATATAAAGTTGCGTATTACGTTTAAAAATAAGAACTTGATTAATGTTGTGGGTAGAAGGCAAAATCATCCACAGGAGTGGCAATGCACTTTTTTGTACGCTGATAACGATTTTAAACAAAGGCAGAAAGTATGACAAGGACTGAAATGTCTTGCCTCTTCCATAGTGGGAGCTTGGCTAGTCACAGGGGATTTTAATGTCATTGGTTCTCTTTTGGAGAAGGAAGGGGGGAGAGTAGGACGGGCCAATAAGATGGTTGAATTGCAAGGCCTTATTTTCGATTGTAATCTTACTGACATGGATTTTCAGGAGCCAAAGTTTACATGGTCCAATAATAGGCCTAGGGAAGCTAATGTGCAAGAAAGGTTGGATAGAGTCTTGATTAATCCAGACTGGAGTTTATGTTTCCCCCATATACAGGTTATTCATGAGGCAAGGGTGGATTCGGATCACTGCTCTATTATCATCAATGTGGAGCCATGTTTAAAGAGGAGGATTGCCTACTTTAAATTTGAATCTCTCTGGATGGAGGATGATCAATGTAAGGAGATCATTAAGAGGAATTGGGCGAATGTAATGAATGGTTCAATGATGCTTGTCTTGTCAAAGAGATTGGAACAATGTGGGAAGGAGCTTAAAGATTGGAGTAGGCGGAGATTTGATAATGAAAGGAAAATCTTATTGGGGCTAAATGACCAGCTAGTTTAGTTGCAAATGTTAGAGGCTTCGGAGGAGAACTTGAGGAAGGAGATGGAGATTATTGCTAAAATGGATGGTATTAGGAGAAGGGAGGAGTTCTATTGGCAACAAAGATCAAGGGTAAAATGGTTTAAATCAGGGGACCAAAATACAAGGTTCTTCTATCTTACTACTATTCAGAGACATCAACGTAACCAAATATTGAGGCTAAAAACTGATGCAGCAACCTGGATTGATAACGAGGTGGAGTTGAACGATCACATCCAACAGTATTTCCAGGAGTTGTTCTCTACAGTGGGACATAGAGATTTTGCCAAGGTGTTGGAGAATGTGGACAGAAAAGTTACGGAGGCTATGAACCTTAAACTGTTTGAGTTGATCCAGGATGCAGAGGTGAAGAATGTTGTTATACAGTTGGGAGCTCTTAAGGCCCCTGGACCCGATGGCTTTCCAGGTATTTTTTTCCATTCTTACTGGCACATTGTTGGGGATGATGTGCTAAAAGTTGTAAGGCATTTTTTTGTGGGGGGTTTTATGCTTCGGGACTTGAATAAGACTAATATTGTCCTTATCCCAAAGGAAGATTCGCTTGAAAAGATTTTCCAGTATAGACCTATTGCGCTTTGTAATTACGTGTATAAGGTAATATCTAAGGTGTTAGCCAATAGAATGAAAGGTCTACTGCCTGCGATTATTTCTCCCCAGCAAGCAGCCTTTGTCCCAAATAGGCAAATTTAGGACAGTATTATAATTGCAAATGAGGTGTTCCATTACATGCGGCTGAGAAAGAAAGGCAAGGTTCTTGATTTGACAATCAAGATGGATATTAGTAAAGCTTATGATAGAATTGAATGAGACTTTTTGTAGGTGATATTGCTCAAGCTGGGGTTCGATCAACGGTGGGTGAAGTTAATTATCCAGTGTGTTAGCACCGTGAGCTTTCACGTGATTATTAGTGGGGAGCTCAAATGTGAGGTCATTCCTTAGAGAGGAATTAGACAAGGTGATCCCATTTTCTCTTATCTATTTATCTTGGTTGTTGATGACTTGTCTGCTATGCTGCTTAAGGGTGTGGAGGAGCATAAATTTCGGGAATCAAAGTACGACAAGGATGTCCTGCTATTTCAAACTTGTTTTTTGCGGATGATTCTTTTTTCTTCATTAAAGCTAAGGATCAAGACATTTTGAATGTCATGAATACCCTGCACACTTTTTGTATTGCCTTGGGTCAACAGTTGAATCAACAAAAATCTAGTATTCTCTTCTCTGCTAATGCAACGGATGCTCAAAAAAATCATTTTTGTCAGTTGTTGGGATTGAACCCATTGGATCGAGGGGACAAATATTTGGGTTTGCCTTTTTTGTATGGCCATGCAAAGAGTGACATGTTTGGATATCTTCTTGAAAAGATCGTGAAGAAACTGCAAGGGTGGAAAAGTCAGTTCCTTTCTCCAGCGGGCAAAGAGATTTTGATTAAGGCAGTTATTCAAGTTATCCCAAATTATGTTATGTCTATCCTTGCTTTCCCTAAGAAGTTTTGTGATACTATAAATAAATATGTGAGAGGTTTTTGGTGGGGTGGTGGATGGGAAAAGAAAGGTATTAGCTGGAAGTGGTGGGACAAGATGGTTGAAGCTAAAGCAAGAGGGGGGATGGGTTTTAAAGATTTTAATCTCCTTAACCAGGTGTTGCTTGCTAAACAGTGTTGGTGGTTAATCCAAAAACCTGATTCTTTTTGGGCAAGGTTTTTAAAATCTATTTATTTCCCTGACGGTGATTTCATGAAAGCTAATAAGGGAGCGAGGCCATCTTGGGTATGGAACAGTCTGCTTAAGGGAAGGAAACTATTGGAAAAATGTCTAATCTGGCAAGTTATGGATGGTTATGGGATAAATATTTGGGAAGACAGGTAGATCCCCCATTTCGATGACGACGTTATTCGGTCTCCAAGACCTCACGACTGTGATATTTCCAGGGTCAATCAACTTCTTTCTCCCCTTTCGAGCGACTGGAATACAGGGCTTCTCCGAAGGATTTTCAACGAGAAGGAGTGTTAGGCTATTTTGGCTATTCCACTTCCAAAGGTTCCTGTTGCTGATCAGCGTATTTGGAGGCTGAATGCAAAAGGGGCCTATTCTGTCAAGTCAGGTTACTCCCTTGCTATTTCATTTGATCCTACTTCTATTATGCTGTCTTTTTCTTCATTCTCTACCCATCCAAAGTTTTGGTCTATTGTCTGGAACATGATGGCAATACCAAAGGTCAAGCACTTTTGGTGGAAAGTTTGTAGTAATGCTTTGGCCACACGTGAAAATTTATATAAGAGGAAGTGTGATGATTCTCCTTAGTGCCAAATTTGTGGTGTGATGGTTGAATCTGTTGAACATCTTCTTTTTGAATATGGTTGGGTTAAGAGGGATTGGTTTGGGTCTAACTTGGGTTTGAGATTGGAGTTGGATTCTCATGTTTTGGTGTTACAGTGAGCATCGTCTCTTTTAGATGTTATTAAAAATTTCAGTTGCTCTCTTGAGATTATGGGGAAAGTAGCTACGATTGCTTGGGCCATTTGGAATTCTAGAAACAATTTCATTTTTAATCATCATGAACCCAATGTTCTTGCTACTCTGTTGTGGGCTCAGAAACTGTGGAGTGATGTGAGGATGGTTGGTATCAGTGGGCGTGAGGAAAAGCTAGTGGTTCTTGATGTTGGCTGGCATGAGCTGCAGCAGCCGGTTTCTAATGTGCTGCATCTTGTTTCTAATGTGTAGCAGCCCGTTTCTGATGTTGGTAGATGTGAGGTGTTGCAAGATCTTGCTTCTGACTTCAGTCCACTTCATCAAGATCATGTTTCTGGCTCCTCGTCTCTTTTGTGTTGTGATGGAGCGTTTAAGAAAGGTGATGCAGTTATTGGGGTGATTCTGAAAGATTCCAATGGGTTTATGGTGGATGGAATTGCTAAAATGATTCCGGCCTTTTCCAGTTTTTATTCCAAAGCAACTGTGGTAAGAGAAGTTTATCTCTTGGTTTCTGCTTCTGAGCTTCGTGATGCTACGGTTTCTAATGACAACCTGGAGTTAATCAAGTTGTGTGTTTCGGAAGATGCTCCTCCATGGGAAATCAATGTTTTTATTAGTGATATTCGCAATGTTGTTAAAGTGTTTAATTTAAGCTTTATTCATAAGCCGAGGGCTCTTAACAGAGCAGCTCGTTGGGTTGCAGCTATGAAATTATCTAACTCAATTCCTTTGAGTTAGGTGCGCTGCCCTCCCCTCGAGCTTAAGGTTTTTTTGTCTACTGATTGTAATCAACATTTTCCAACGTAATGAAATGTGCAGATCTGATTATCTTCCAAAAAAAAAAAAAATGGCTAATCATTTCCCATCTTTACTTCAGATTCTGACATGAGACAATTTTTTAAGAGTAATGCTACATGCACTTAAAAAGTAGACTTAATAATTAGAACAATTGATTTCACTGTGGATCCTAACATTTATTAGGACCAACTACTTATTTAATGGTTGAGATTATCAAATTTAATTTTTCAATTCATATAACGTTACTCATTTTTTAATATTTTCAGACTTGCAAATTACCCATGCATTAAATGTTCTTATAATTTTTATATTTTCAGTTCAAACACATACATGGGAGGTCCTATATATGTTGTGAGATTGCATGTGAAATGCACGACTAAGCACCACTTTGCTAATTCATATATATCCTCATTCGACTATTTTCTTATGTGCACCATGTTGTTAAAGCATAAGCTTGAGATCTTGCATTGGTGCATCAATAAACTAATGTGCTTTGGTTATGTTGAGCATGTCTCCTTGACTAACAACATGGTAATCTCCTTTTAAGGTCATATAGTGTCATTCGTTTCCTTGTGCCTAGAAAGTAGCATTCTTGACAACAAATGCTTATGCAAGAACTGGATTTTTTTGTGGTATCCAGAGCTAAGATTGCCCCCTAACACGACTCCATCCTCCTTCCTAGCTAAGGGTGTTTTATGGGTCGGATTGTCCATGGATCCTGTTATCTATTCCAAAAAAAATAGGGTTGAAACTCAATAGGTCCGATAATTAGTTCACCTGAGTCCGAGTCTAATATTCTTCAAGAAAGTGTTTGGTCTTATCCCCAAACCAATTGCCTTGCCCATTAACCAAATCGCAAAAACCCAGCCCAAGAACCTGCCCGCGCTAACCCTTCCACATAGTATGTCCGCTCTACCTTTGAAAATAAGTTAGATATTATAAATAATATTTTTTTTTCTTTTTCATGTATTAAACATACACGTTTTAAATGATAGAGTTGTGCAAATGATAAATGAGAGGGTAAGCGTCAGCCTAATTGAAATGTGATCATTATATTGTGATACAGTTTCTCCTTATTCATAAATAGAATTATTCATTATTTATTTTTTGTCCATTTTGTCTCTACTACTTTAATTTTAAAAATGTAATTTACAAATATATTCATTATTTTTAAATAAAGTTGTATATAAAATGTTTGCATAGTAGTCCCGCAAGGGTCACCCAACAGGGTCATGGGTTGGACTATCCTATCCGGGCTTGGCCCGAAAAAACTTTTATGGGCCTTGCTTGGCCCGGCCGTGAACACCACTATTCCTAGTTAACGCAAATCATACATGAACTATTTTGCTCAACTACAACATCCGTAAGAGTTTGGGAATTTTTTTAATATTTTATTTTTCTCACAAAAGATATATATATATATATATACACTTTACAAAAATATAGAAGGAAAACTACAACTATTTTTCAAATTACAGCCTACAGATCATATTTTTTAGCGCTAAAATTGCCTTATCTCGATACGGTCGATAGATAAATATGATGACAAACGCCGCAAGGGGTACAATATTTCTGAGATGTTTATTTCGGGACATAATTTATTAATTTAATTTGATGGATGATTTTATTACCTTTTTTATTTGCCCATCACCGAGGGTGGACTGCAGGTCGGAAACCCGTTCGACCCGACTCTGTACATGCAAGGGGACCCTCTTCCTCTACCATGCGCGGTGTCCCAGTAATCACTTCACTTCTAATTCTTCCACAGCATTCGCCACACCACCACCAACAGAGTCATATGCACGGCGGACCATGGGGGCGCTAATCCGTAGACCGGCGGCGTACCTCCGCACCGGCTTGAAGACCATCCACCACTTCCGTACCTCAACAGCTCCACAAATCAAGGAAACCGGTCTATATTCCATCGACATCTTGAAGACTCCCAATGGCTTTCGCGGGTTCGTGGACGAAGCCGTCGAGAGGTAATGCAATGTCCGAGAAAATGCAAGTAAATAAAGGAAAGGAAAGTTTGATATTTTAAAATTGATTAGAAGATTCATTTTTGTTGGCATTATTCTTCAAATTCGTGNGCCTTTTCCAGTTTTTATTCCAAAGCAACTGTGGTAAGAGAAGTTTATCTCTTGGTTTCTGCTTCTGAGCTTCGTGATGCTACGGTTTCTAATGACAACCTGGAGTTAATCAAGTTGTGTGTTTCGGAAGATGCTCCTCCATGGGAAATCAATGTTTTTATTAGTGATATTCGCAATGTTGTTAAAGTGTTTAATTTAAGCTTTATTCATAAGCCGAGGGCTCTTAACAGAGCAGCTCGTTGGGTTGCAGCTATGAAATTATCTAACTCAATTCCTTTGAGTTAGGTGCGCTGCCCTCCCCCCGAGGTTAAGGTTTTTTTTGTCTACTGATTGTAATCAACATTTTCCAACGTAATGAAATGTGCAGATCTGATTATCTTCCAAAAAAAAAAAATGGCTAATCATTTCCCATCTTTACTTCAGATTCTGACATGTGACAATTTTTTAAGAGTAATGTTACATGCACTTAAAAAGTAGACTTAATAATTAGAACAATTGATTTCACTGTGGATCCTAAACATTTATTAGGACCAACTACTTATTTAATGGTTGAGATTATCAAATTTAATTTTTAAATTCATATAACGTTACTCATTTTTTAATATTTTCAGATTTGCAAATTACCCATGCATTAAATGTTCGTTTAATTTTTATATTTTCAGTTCAAACACATACATGGGAGGTCCTATATATGTTGTGAGATTGCATGTGAAATGCACGACTAAGCACCACTTTGCTAATTCATATATATCCTCATTTTACTATTTTCTTATGTGCACCATGTTGTTGAAGCATAAGCTTGAGATCTTGCATTGGTGCATCAATAAACTAATGTGCTTTGGTTATGTTGAGCATGGCTCCTTGACTAACAACATGGTAATCTCCTTTTAAGGTCATATAGTGTCATTCGTTTCCTTGTGCCTAGAAAGTAGCATTCTTGACAACAAATGCTTATGCAAGAACTGGATTTTTTTGTGGTATCCAGAGCTAAGATTGCCCCCTAACACGACTCCATCCTCCTTCCTAGCTAAGGGTGTTTTATGGGTCGGATTGTCCATGGATCCTGTTATCTATTCCAAAAAAAATAGGGTTGAAACTCAATAGGTCCGATAATTAGTTCACCTGAGTCCGAGTCTAATATTCTTCAAGAAAGTGTTTGGTCTTATCCCCAAACCAATTGCCTTGCCCATTAACCAAATCGCAAAAACCCAGCCCAAGAACCTGCCCGCGCTAACCCTTCCACATAGTATGTCCGCTCTACCTTTGAAAATAAGTTAGATATTATAAATAATATTTTTTTTTCTTTTTCATGTATTAAACATACACGTTTTAAATGATAGAGTTGTGCAAATGATAAATGAGAGGGTAAGCGTCAGCCTAATTGAAATGTGATCATTATATTGTGATACAGTTTCTCCTTATTCATAAATAGAATTATTCATTATTTATTTTTTGTCCATTTTGTCTCTACTACTTTAATTTTAAAAATGTAATTTACAAATATATTCATTATTTTTAAATAAAGTTGTATATAAAATGTTTGCATAGTAGTCCCGCAAGGGTCACCCAACAGGGTCATGGGTTGGACTATCCTATCCGGGCTTGGCCCGAAAAAACTTTTATGGGCCTTGCTTGGCCCGGCCGTGAACACCACTATTCCTAGTTAACGCAAATCATACATGAACTATTTTGCTCAACTACAACATCCGTAAGAGTTTGGGAATTTTTTTAATATTTTATTTTTCTCACAAAAGATATATATATATATATACACTTTACAAAAATATAGAAGAAAAACTACAACTATTTTTCAAATTACAGCCTACAGATCATATTTTTTAGCGCTAAAATTGCCTTATCTCGATACGGTCGATAGATAAATATGATGACAAACGCCGCAAGGGGTACAATATTTCTGAGATGTTTATTTCGGGACATAATTTATTAATTTAATTTGATGGATGATTTTATTACCTTTTTTATTTGCCCATCACCGAGGGTGGACTGCAGGTCGGAAACCCGTTCGACCCGACTCTGTACATGCAAGGGGACCCTCTTCCTCTACCATGCGCGGTGTCCCAGTAATCACTTCACTTCTAATTCTTCCACAGCATTCGCCACACCACCACCAACAGAGTCATATGCACGGCGGACCATGGGGGCGCTAATCCGTAGACCGGCGGCGTACCTCCGCACCGGCTTGAAGACCATCCACCACTTCCGTACCTCAACAGCTCCACAAATCAAGGAAACCGGTCTATATTCCATCGACCTCTTGAAGACTCCCAATGGCTTTCGCGTGTTCGTGGACGAAGCCGTCGAGAGGTAATGCAATGTCCGAGAAAATGCAAGTAAATAAAGGAAAGGAAAGTTTGATATTTTAAAATTGATTAGAAGATTCATTTTTGTTGGCATTATTCTTCAAATTCGTGGGGTTTATCATCTACCGAAAGGTGATTTCTAGTTTGATCCATTGACTTTATGATGGAATTTTTTTTTGGTATTCTATGATGTTTTTGTATGTGCTTGATAGGTCTGATGAACTGGTTAATTGCATTTCTCGGATGCCCTCATCTGTAGAAATTATCCGCGCCATGGACGAGATATCGAACACAGTATGTTTAGGGTTTAGGGTTTAGGGTTTTTCTTTTCAGTCATACATTCCATGGATATACACGTTCCTTATTTGTTCTTGAATGTTAGGTGTGCTCAGTAATCGATTCGGCAGAACTATGTAGACATACGCATCCAGACAGGTTTGTCATGATATACATGATTTTATAGTGTTGCATGTTTGATTGTTTTTTTAGGTTTTACCATTTTTAAAATCTGGTTTTTGTTGTATTTTAAGGGAATTTGTTGAGGAGGCCATCGGTGCATCCATGAGAATGAATGAATATCTACATGTGAGGTGACCACTGATTTATGTGGCTTTTGAATTATCTTGAACAGCATAGTGTTCCTGTGAGTAGATCTATCTATAGGAAAGATGTATTATGGGGTAACTCAGACTTTGAAACACTGAAAGCAGTTTTTAGTGCAACATGGGTTGATATTATGTATCAAGAGGTCATCTCATTGAACTCAAATTATATGCCGTTCTTAATCTTATTCATTTTGTTAATGTGTTGAACCCTGGCCCCTTTGAGGCCTTTCATATAAAAAGGAGTTCTTATGGCTTTGTTAGAGAAGTGGATTGAAGAATTTTTTCAGTACAATTTAGGAGCCAACTTCTGTTTGTTTACATATGATGTAATTACAGGTTGCTGTGGTTCTGGAATGTAATTGATAGTTTTAGCCGCATGTTCACTTAGATAATTTGGGTCATACGTGGGTGCTATTGCCCA